GGGGGGGGGGGGGGGTCAGATGAGTGAGAGGTGGAGGAGGAAGCAGAAATTTAGGTAAAAAAAAATAGCAGTCTTTTGCTTATAATTTTTGTATTGCAGTCACAGCAGGTAGGAAGCCACTGCTGAATAAGTGAGGTGAACAGAGAAGCTAAAATTCGGATCTAGAGCTCCCCAGAAGAGTTTGAAGTGGTACATTTATCCCTCTGCTCATGAGGACACTTCAGCTCAGCACAAAGGGCCAGGTCCCAGAGGCCATGCATCAGAAGGGTCACTTCTACCTGTCAGGGTGGTGACCAACACACCCCTGGGCACAGCCTGGTGAGTGCTGGGGGAAAGGAACCATCCTCCAGAAAATAAAGAGCCCACACTGCTCCAGGATGGCCTGGCCAGCAGCCACTGCAGCCAGTTCCTGTGCTCCAGTGGGAACAGGCTGAAGGCAAAGCTGCTCTCCCAAGGAATACCTGAAAATCCTGCTCTGTGTTTCCAAGCAGACCAGTAGGAAGGCTCCAACTGTAAATTAAACTTCAATTTGTAAAGAAACCAAGAATTAAATCCGGAGCACAAAAGGAGAATATGCTAGATGACATTGCATATGAATGTCAGCTCTGTTCTAGGGTGTTTACAGGCAGGCTACAGCCTGCAATTTTAATTGGATCACAAAGTAGAAAATGAAAATGTTTCACTAACCAAGATGAATGGTATGACATTTGTCCTCCAGATTGGCGATGATTATTTGTGGAGATGAATAAACAGCAAAGTTAAGATGAAGTTTCAGTTTCCACAGGCAAGAAGGAAGCATAAATATAAAACTCTATCCCAATTTTCTAAATTGTTCCATAAATCACAAGTGGAAAGAATCCAAATGTGCAGACTTAGGAAACATAAATGTTCCTGTTGACCACGTTTTAACTTTCAGGATCTCAGCAATACCAGGACTGAAATAGCTGCCAGCATGTTTTACAAAACCTTTACAACCAGCCAGCCCAAAGCCTGGCAAGTTATTAGTAAACTTCCAGGAAGATTTCACAAAGATCTGAAAAGTTTCTTGTAAAAGAGAGAAAACAGAGGTGGATCTTGGTCTGGTGTAGAATGGGCAGCTATGAAATACAGGTACAAGCAGAGCTTTGAAAAAAGAGTTCTTAGAAGGAAGGAAGATTTTGGACATGGTTCTGTGTTCTGGGGAGAGCTGCAAGCCATAGCTGTGCCTGTGGAGCTGGACCAGGAGGCAGCTCTGCACTGGGTGAGCCTCCAGCACCCAGCAGAAGCTCTCAGAAAAAATTCCTGACCCTTTTGGATATTGCTGCACTCTTCAGCCAGCAGAGAGGAAAATCTGCCTGCAGAGGGTAAATGGTGCCATTGCTGTGGATTTGTTCTGGCTGTGGAGGAAGAGTTTGAGGTGTTTTATTCTCAGTGCTGCAGGGACAGAGACACCTGTGGCTCTGCAGGTACCTGTGCCACAGCAGCACCTGACAGCTACTGAAACATGATTTTGTCTGTGGAGACATAGGGTCATGAGGACCTTGATGTGAAAAAGGTTTTAATAAGGGGATTTAATGACTCATCAGCCATGGAATTAACTCCCTCTGTAGTCATCTGCCAGGGCATTCCTCAGTTTCATACAGCAATTGCAGACAATCGCTGTCCCCTCTGCTCACTGCCATTAATTCTCTGAGGTTTGAATTTCAACTGATTTAAACGTTGCTTTAATGTCCCTCTCTAAGTTTTTTTTTCTCACAGGTTGGTTAAAGCCTAAACAAAATGATCTCCTAACCATGATCCATCAGCCTTACGTGTGAACAAAGTTGGGACAGACTGGGGGTTCTCTGAGCTACCCCACTAATACAATTCCTAGTGAGTTTCTCTGCACCAGTCTGGTAGAAAATGGCAACAGTGTGAGAGTGACATTGAAAAAAAAAAATCTTTAACATTTTCTCTTCATTTTCAAGCAGTGATGTATCTATCCAGAGGGGCTGGCAGTAGGCACATGCTCATATGGTTGGAACAGCAACATAAAGAAACACCACATGTGAGAAAACCTATCTAAATACATCTAATTTTCATCTTAATGACTGCAGTGGTCTAGCAGGTGTTTTGGGCAATCAGAGAAAAATAAACCTCCAGAGCTACCTGTCAAAAAGACAAAGCCAGCCTGAACTCCTGGAGAACATGGGGAGTTTTACCTGAGCAAAATGTGAATAAGGGTTTAAACCAGAGAGGTAGGAAGCTGCTCCCAAAAGGAGGACACACAACATCTGGCACAATGTTGGGATGCTGCACCATCTCCATCTGTGGCCCAAATTCAGCAAAAAAACACCTTCAATTTAGCTCACTCTGCAGAGACTCTCAGTCAGCCCTGGGATATACCTACTAAAAGTCATTGTCATATTTAATATTCATATTAAAGAATCAGGAGGATCCAAACTAGGCCTGAAAACCTGAAATACCCCAAATACATTTAAAACAACACCAATATAGGTGTCCTTATTTAAGTATCTGTCAAATGCTGGCAGTGTTCTCAAAACATGAATCAGGACAGAGCTATTTTATTTCCAGTGGAAATGCCTGAACCTCATTTAATCTGTATCAGCTTCTGACCTGTCAGAACCCATATGGGATGAAGCACTGAGTGAATTATGGAACATCAGCAACTTCTACTGTGCCCTAATTATTGATCAAAGTAGAAGGTAAGCATTTGCAGGGTCCACACTTGAGTGAAATGTTTTTCCCACTCAGAAAAACAGCAAGTTCAGTGCAAGTTTTTCTTCAGTGCTGCTGCTATCTGTATTACCCAACTGTGACCTGAAAGTGAAAACAGCTATAAACATGCATGAATCATCTTCTTATATGAATTTTATCCAAGTTCAGACAGGTAGCCTGGATTGTTAAGCTGGTTTTACCTTACTGCGCTGTGGTTAAAGCAGACTTGAGGTAAGGAAATGTACATGTGTCAGTTTTAAAGCTGGCATTGTTTCTCTAACACGTGAATAAAATTAAAACAAATCTCTGTCCCATAAAAAACTGGATTCTGCAAGCTGGGGAAGAAAACCACATGCTGTTTACTCCTGCCATTAATGCTTTCAAAAGGCATTTTCCTGACATAAAACTCATTTTCACCCCTGTTTTGGTTTTGCAACGTGGCAGCAATAATGTTTAAGCCTGTTGGACACCACCTCATGAATCATGCTAGAAATCAGCTCCATGGGGTGAGCATCCCACTGCTGGCTGCAGCCAGGGCCCTGACACCAAGGAGGGAAGGAAACCCTTTAACATCAGGTGAAAGATCAAAACAGAACATTCTGGGTTGCCATTTTAAAAAGAACTTGCTTGGGTATTGGAGTCTGGGAGGATAAATCAATGGAGGTTTCAACTTCGGAAGCCAATTTGGAACAAAAGGCAATGCAGAAACACTGAGCTGTCCCAAGGGCCCCACAAAGCCCATTTGCATCTTGTCTGTATGCTCCATGCAAGGGAGCCTAATTCCAGCACTTGCCAGCAATTAACACGTGCTAATGAGACTCCTGCAATTGCCAGTCCAGGATGAGGACGGCAGGATTCCTCACAGAGCAGTGGGAGAGGGGTTCTGGCAATCAAGGAGCCATCCTGAAGAGGCGTTTCTCCTCTGGTTACCGCTAATTAAAGCCTCTTCCTTGGCTCTTTTTAAAAAGCCTCTTTTCAAACCCACCATTTGTGGCGGGTCCAAGCAGCCAGCCTGGAGGCAGGATGGGTTTTGGGGACAGTCACAGGAGGGTCACAGGTTTCCTGCATCTCCTTTCAGCTCAGTCCTTACCCAGACCAGGATCCCACTGATGCTCAGACACTGAATAGGGACCCAGAAAAGTTACCCACCTTGCCCACAATGAGCTAGATGTGTCTGTAAGTGAGACAGTTCCTGTAGGAATTGGAAACTGGGAAGCACCAAGTGCAAAGGCTTTAGGGTATGCACACCCACCGAATGCATTAAATGATCTGTCACTGCAGTTAGGCTCAACCCCATTTGCAGGGCTGTCCTAGGAGGGACAGGAACACCTCTGTGCCCAGGAGGGACATAGTCTGATGCCCATTTGGCAGGTTTATCCTGGATCCTGCCTGGCAGTGAGGCTGGGAAGCCCTGAGGCAGTGACAGCCACCAGTGTGACCTCTGTGCCACAGACTGTAAAGTGATTTCATTACACACCCTCGCTGTGACTTCCTCCTCTGGTTCAAGGAGACTCACATCCCCCTCACAGGAGGAGTGGGAAGATGCCCAAATCCTGTCCTGGACAGCACAGGGGAAATACCCAATCCTGCCCTGCACATAACAGGGAAAATACCCAAATCCTGTCCTGCACAGCACAGGGAAATGCCCAAATCCTGCCCTGCACATAACAGGGATAATACCCAAATCCTGTCCTGCACATAACAGGGATAATACCCAAATCCTGTCCTGCACATAACAGGGATAATGCCCAAATCCTGTCCTGCACAGCACAGTCCATTTTGGGACAGCAATGCTGGCAGGCCCAGCTCCACACACAGCACAGGCTCATCTCACACAGCACACCCACCACATAAACTCGGGCCTTGTTTGCATTTTGCCTGAAAAGAGCAAGCAGCATTCAGTTCAATCAGAAATAAAAGCAGAGCCCATTCTAACAAATGGGGAGACAACGAGCCCCAGTTCTCCTCTTGGACGCGACCACAGCTCCTCTCAGGACGGAGCAGAGCTGGGAGCGAACAGGAAAGGAAGAGGGCTCTTGGAGAACAGAAGAACCTGCTTTAAGGACATGACACAGAGCTACAACAACAAGGAGAGAGAGAAGTAGAAAGAGACATACTGGAGAAGCTGACCATTGCGAAATGCTGACACCGGTCTCCTGTGAATTCGATCGGACACCTACCGGAAGAGAGAAAACCAGAAAGAGAGAAACAAGATAGCAAAATGACACCCAAACAGGCTGAACTGAGGCCCCTTCTGATCCCTTCCAGGGCTCCTATCTGTCTGCTTTCAGCCTTCACCCTTACCTGCAGCCCTAAGCCCTACCCAAAGCTGACACCAAGAGCCGTCCCTGACTAGACCACTCTACATCCACCGCTGTGCCCGGGAGGTTTTAAGTAGTGTGGTGCATTTTTTGTCTTCAAACATACTTTGCTTAGGATCTGGCATGTACAATCGCAAAGGCAGTTTCTCCAAACATCTCTGTCCGAAGAATCCATTTGGACATCTGGAGGGGAAAAGGGGAGAAATCACAGAACATGTCTGGCACAGTTCTTGAGGCTAAGGTCAGAAATAAAAAGTGCATTGCGATGAATGGAAAAAATAAAGGTTTTACATGCGTATTTACTCTTTGCTTTAACCAGGCACCTGCAACATCAACGTTCCAGCTCTGGTTTAGGCCTGGGTCTTCAAGCAGGCAGCCAAACCCCTCCTGCTCTGTCCTGCTCTGCCTGCCTCCTTCCTTCTCACCTGCTAGAAGCTGGCAGGAAGACTGAGATGGGCTGGATGCTACTTTCAGAGACTGCGTGGAGCTGCTCTGTAGACTGGCAAGAGGCACCAAAAGCAGTGAGCAGCTGCTCAGGCGACAGTGAGCACTGGGTGTGGAAAGCACCATCCATTATGAGCCCAGAAGTACCCACGGGGTGGTTAGAGAGAAAGCATGAGCAGAGTCTCTGTGTTAACAGAGAGGAAGGGACAGAGAAGAGAAGAGAAGAAAGCTGAGCTGAAGGGCTCTCAGATGCTGTCCAAATGCAAGGCTCTCTCAGGCTGTCCTGGCCTAGGTCACAGGATGGGCTGTGTCAGCTCATGGGCACCAGCTGCACATTCACGTGATGCTCGGGTGCCAGGGAAGGTGCCCTGCAGTTGAGGGCCACCTGGCATTGGCACCAGCCCATGAGTGGTTCCCCAGAGCAGTCCCCAGCTGGTTTGGGGAGCACAGGGACATGGGCAGGGGTGCAGCAGGAGCTGCAGGACCACCCATGGTGAGCAGCACCTGCACCCTCTGCTCTGCCACCCACTGCAGCTGCCGGTGAGCCTGGGAAGCGATGGGAGCCCAGCCTGGCTTGGTCAAACACTTGTCTCCCTCCCTCACTTCACGTCTTTTCTTCTGGATACTCCTTGGATAGACCAGCTCTCACCTCACTGTCCCACAGCTCCCTACCTTCTCAACAAACCTCTCTTTCCTCTGAGCTTTAGAGGGCTTTCTTTTATAGCATTTTAACATCTGTTTTTTCAACTTCTTGTGAGAGGAGCTGCAGTCTCTACACCTGGTACATGTCAGGCCTTCCTTGCTCTCAGATGCCACCCACAAGATCTCTCTGTCCCACAGTGATCTGCAAGTGGAAGACAAGGAAGGGACTGAAAGACACCTCAGTAAAACACTGATGAGTCAGAGGCCAAGTCTGATGTCAGTGTCTCAGCTCCTGGCCAGGCCACTGCAAAGGACAGCAAGAGGTTGGAGCAGCATCAGGTGACTACTCCAGCATGTGCATCTGGTGGGGTGGGGCAGGTCCAGGCCCAGGTCCAGGTCCAGGCTCCATGCAGAAAACCTTGATTTTTGGTAGTTGTGCTTCATCATGGACATACACTGACCTGGCTTTGGCACTTGATCCCTTGCTGGATTTCACTGCAGTTTGGGTAGGCCCGAGCTGAGCAAAAAAAAACCTGTTGCACCCTCACTGCCTGTGACCAGATGTGGGTCAGCATCTGGGTTTTTGGGACCTGTGCTCACACCTCTAACTGGGAGTATGCTGGGCTATTTGTGCACCCCAAACTACTCATGGAGGACTTTAGGGCATGGCTCTGCATGAGGATGCACTGAGCCCTCCAGTCATACACTTCAGTTTCTCAGTATCCAAGTCACTGCTGAAACTGAAAATTTAACTCCCTGGGACAGGCAAATATCTTGGAAAAACTGGTGCTTTTATGCCATTCTTGGACATTCTTTGGACATGGGGTTCATCTTGGGGCACAGGGAAGGGAGATGGACCAGTCATACTGGGCCAGCTCCCAGGGAAAGCTCAGCCCAAGGGTGACCATCAGACATGGGGCCTGTTGACCTCCCCTGCCATGAAGCACAGGAAGCTGGTGCTGGGAAGTGAAGAAAACGCCCCATTGTCAATCAAAAAGCACAAACCTGAGGCACTGGGTGGCACAGACTCACAAAGACAGCCCCAGGGAAGCAGGACCAAAGGAACCCTTCAGAGATTGCACTGGGGTTTGAGCAAGGAATCCAAAAGAGAAGGTGTCTTCCAAATCCTTTTTGAAGTTCATTCGTCACCTCTGGTAGAGTGAGGAATTTATTCACAGAGTCTTCAAGGGAATCCAGTTTTGCTCACAATGTGCTTCCCATCTGTCTGGGATCTGAGATTTCCTGGATGTTGTGAGCACACAAAGGGCCTCAAGGGTGCTGCTGAATAAAGCAATCGTCCTACCCAGCCCAAAAAGGGGTGTTTTGTCAGAAAGGAGCTAAAACAATCTCAGGTGCACACCTGCAAGAGGTCAGCCAAGGCTGGAACTCCAATGTGACTGGGGCTGCATTCCATTAAGGAAAGACTAAAAATTATGGGAAAACTGACGGTAGGAAATAAAAGCCCAGAGGAAGGAACCAGTAAGAAGTGAAAAAGCAAAACAAAAAGGTGTCAAAGAAGCTTTGATGCCATGACAGCTACCATATAGCCCATCTCCAGATCTCTGCAGTCAGCCAAGCGTGGGTGGGGAGAGGAGCTCTCAAGACAGAAGGCAGTAGACAACTGTCTTCTCTGTGTCTAGGACAGCTCAGGTTTCTCATCTTTAGTTACTCAGCGATTCAGCACTGGGAGAAGTGACAGAAAAAAAGCCCCCCTGAACAAGAGCAGCTTCTGTCACCTCTCAAGCTTGTGTACAAGCTGTCATGACACAATGTGCCACCCTTGCACACCTGGGTTCTGGCTCCTCAAAAGCAAGGCTGCAGGCAGAAGCAGTGACCAGAAGACCTTTGAGAGCATGCAGTGCTTTTGGTTCCTTTTTTTGTTCAATCTGTCTCTCTAACTTGTAGGCCACTGAAGATGATTTATTATTTATTGCTGTGGCCCCAGATGTGATTTCAAGGAAAGAAATTTCCAGCGTGCTTGGTACATGGGTCTCCCAGTCTGGACAGGCAGAGCAGTGGAGATCATCCCTTCTGTATTGAAATCTGCTGCCTGTGGTGAGGGCAGCTCTTCTGCAGTGAGGGATAAACCTGGAAGTTAAGGCTCATTGAAGCTGAGAGCTGTGAGCTGGTCTTTGATCATGGCATCCTTCTTCCTGCATGCTTGACCAGAGCCAGAAGAGGTTCTGGCTGGCTGCCCTAGCAAAACCAAGTCCCTCCTTCTTTGCAAAACTCTTGCAGGGACTTCACAGACGGTGGACTCTCCTGCAAATACCACCTTTGGACTTTTTGGTGCACTCACAGAGGCAGACAATGGGTCTCTCCCCAAGGGTCCTGGGGAAGGACAAGGCTGCACCAGCTTCTTGCAGACAGCACCCTGTCCCCTCTCTAGCCTGAGTGGAGACTCCCAAAACTCCCCTTGCTTAACAATCTCTCTGTGTCTAATTGCTGCCCCTGAAAATTACTTGTAAATGCCATTGATAAAACTGGTCAGGGATTTTTCTGTCCAGATTCTGTTTTCTATTATTGCTGGAAAAAAATCCCATTCTTTTAGTTTTGACCTTAAGACTTTTTTTTTTTCTTTATAACCTCATTTTGAAAACATATGCAAAATTCTGCTCTTGGGTTCAGGATGAATTGCAGTGAGATATTTACAGGGTAACAAAAATGCAGTAAGATGATCAGTCAAATAAAGCATCTCAAAAAGTACAAACCAAAACAGTTTGAATGATTCATTTCTATGATGTTTGCTGGGCACTTATTTCTGAAAACTGAGGAACTTTGACATTTTGCCCTGTATCAGGGCAGGGCAATAATTATTGTTAATTATTATTTGCTACTTTAAATTCATTATCATATTCTTCCTGCTGGAAGCAAAACTTTTTCTGTCCAGATATTGCTCTAAGTCTTGCAAGGGTAGGCACATTTCCTTTGCACCCCCAGATCTTAATTGAAAGATGCCAAATTCAGTAGCTCTCATAAATCAATCCGTGCTACAGAAGAATGTGAATGAGCAGGTGCTTCAAAATAACATGATAAAGACAAGCTGTAGCAGATGGACACAATGCACTGAAGTAAGCTAATGGAAAAAAAAAAATAAATGTTTCAAGCACGTTGCTTTTGTGTGGGAAGGGCTGAAAAAGAAGACAGTTCTGTCATTGTCCCCTGACCAGTCACAGATGATCAGGCTCTGGAGAGCCACAAAAGGCTGGACTCCACAAAATCACTGATGGGAAGAAGAGAAAGCAACCAGAATAAACGCAAAGGCCTTCTCCAGAGCAGCTAATCAAGGCATGTTTGCTGCAGAGTGGAGTCCAAACCTCAGGGACATCCACTGCTGGGCTCAGTGACGACAGCGGCGCGGCTCCGGCTGCAGGATCTGCGTCGTTGCCCCCACTGAGCCTTTGCTGTTGCAGGATCAGCTTCCACACTCTGATGGGCCTCAAGGGTCTGATACAGCCACATTGCATTGAGCAGGAGGCACAGACGGGCCACCTGGACCTGAAAAGGTACCTGATCTCATCACCCAAGATAAACAGCACGCAAAACCCAAGGAGCGAGTCCTGGCTGGTTCGGGGGATTTGGAACAGGATGTGGAGATTTTCACCCCTAGCTCTTCATTTCCAAGGACATTGCAACACCTCCCCACAGCACTGCTCGTACATCCGTGGCACAGTGACGTCCTTGTGGCTGTGCAGTGAGCAGCTGGTGCTGACCAAACGCCGCTGGGAGGGATGGAACAGCTCCAGATGCCACAGGGCAGCTGTGCAAACAGTGCTGCCTGGAGGACCACGGCCGTACAGGATCCCTGTGATATTCACACCTTTGGATGGTGCTCTGGGAAAGCACAGGGGAGCTGGCAGTGTGGCCAAACCTTCAGAATGATCTTTGTCTTTCCTGGAAAATCTGCAGGAAACAATACACTTGGAGGATGTGATTTCGAAAACTGGGGACTTGGATTCATTGATTACTTTTAAAACAATCTGATCTGTTCTTCTTTTGCTTTAGTTCATTTTTTATTCTCTCCTTGACTTCCACCTTTGCCTGATGTGCTCCAGGCCTCTGACCTCCCTCACTCACGTGAGGCAGAGCTGTCATCCCAAACCCAGAGAGTCTGTTCGTCTGCCAGCATTTGCAAACCCTCCAGCCTGATTCTTGTGAGCACAACTGGTCCAGCATGATGTGGGGTGCTCTGTAATACTCTTTAAGTCTTCTGATCCCACACGAGATCTTGATCCCAGGGCCGATCACTTGGATTCCACTGACCACACAAAAGAGATGTGAAGAGCATTTTAGTGGGCAGAGCAGGCTGTGAGAGATGAGACATGACTTGCTTGCTTTGTTTGCCTGGGAAGACCCCAACTGTACTTAATGTGTGCCAAGACCTAACTGGGGAAAAGAGCATTTCTTCTCTTTGGATAGCACAACCCTGTGGGGCACCCAGCAGTGGAGCAGCCTCCAAGTGCTCTCAGTTGTGCCAGGGACTCACTGGGCTCCAGGATGGAGGCAGATCCAAGAGCAGAGGCTGCCAGTCACCCCAACACTCTGTTTGGATACAACAAACCAGGCACCTCTGTTGTGTGTCCCACTTGGGTGCTTGTGTGCATCCCCTCTATGGCACCTCATTGTGCTCTGCTCAAACTTGTCACTGCCCTGGAGTCCAGCTCCTAAGGCCTCTCTGAGCAAAATTATCTGGAGAACAGTTGAGAAATTCCTCCTGTGAAGAGCTTGGGGCTTTTTAATTTACTAGGGCAGTTGAGTTGGTTCTGTCTGTCTGTAGCTCTGTCATTTCCCAGGTTTCAGAATATTTGAGGCAGGTCCCACTTCTCCCATCTAACTTCCAGGTGTTCTGTTTGCAGAGTCAGGATAACAGCACAGATTGCTTTATGTGCAGGTTTCCTTTGACACCAGCATGCCTTGAATTAACTTCAAATTAAGGACAAAATTATGGAAGAACACAATCCAGAAAGACACAATTTCTGCAACAGATCCAAGTCCGTTCTGGGCTCTTCCTCAGTGAAGAAAATGCTTTGTCCAAGGTCTATCTGAAGTGTATTAAAAAGGGAGGGAGGAAGCGGGATTACAAGCAAATACTTTGTTCCTCAGGATTTAAAAGACTAGGAGGAACATGTTTCTGGGAAGCCTGTTATAAAATAATAATAAAAGGCCAGCTGCCAATTTAGATGATATTTGTTGCAAATCAAGCATGAACCGCATCAGGAGAAGAAATTATTTGAGAACTCATCTGCTGTTTTTGGTCCAGACTGCCAGGGGCAACATCTACAGGAAGGATTTCCTGTGCTTCTGGACAACTGTGGGAATGGAACCCACTCCAGGAAGCTGATTGTGGGATGGTGAACAAGAACACCCTAAAATTCTGGTATCTGGATTCTGGAAAGGCTGGTAACATCACATGGGGGGGACAGAATCCCCTGAGCACTCAGTGAGGGAGGGCTGCGAGCTGGCACAGGGGGCCAGGTGATCCCCCCAAGGCCCTGCTGACTCTGACTGGAAGTGTGACATGGAAGCAGCACATGGACATGTGTTGTTCCTGGCTGGAGCTGCTCACGTGGCTCTTGTTGATCTCCAGAGCATTTCAAGAGGTTGTGAGCAGAACCTACTGATCTCCTCCATGCTCCTGGCTCAGAGGCACTGTGAGGCTGGAGGGCCAAGGCTGCTGTTGCAGAGATCAGGAGTGAACTTTGAAGCCTGTATCTTCACCTCCTCTCCTTTCTCCTCCTCCTTTCACAAACCACAGCAGCAGCTCTCCTGTCTTGGTGCAACGAAGAAACCGTGGAGCGTATCAGATCTTTGTTTGCAGGCAAAGGTGAAGTCTCTTTATTCATCAGCATCTTCCCCAAAAGTCACCGTTGTCATTGGGAGAGCCATTTTGTGGGAAACACTCTTCAGTTCAAATGCTTCTGCATTCCTCAATAGCTATTATCCTCCAGAATCCAGAAACTCTAAAATCACACCACTTCAAAAGCCAGGTTTCCTTATCTTCAGTCTGAGGTTTAATGAAATTAAATAAACCCAAGGAAAATGAACATCCAGAGATCTCCTCAAGCAGTAAGATCAGAAGTGACTATGCCATGTGGAAGGCCCCCAGGTTTCTGCAAACATGGAGCCACCTTTTCTGGCAGATGAGCAGTGACAGTGCAGCCCTTCCCAGACCTCCTGGGTAACACTTCCCTGCCCTTCCACACATGCCTGCTCAGTTCCCATCTGGTTTTCACAATTGGTACCTTGGAACTCATCAGAAAAGAATATCATTTTACCATCTGCAAAGTGAGGAATTCAGGCTTTCAGATGATATGAAATAATTAGGTCTGTTTGGTGTGGCACATAAAATCTTAATGGAATCCATCACTGAGTGTTCCCTCTGGTCATCAGCTGTCAGAGCAGCCTGGTTGGAGGGTAGGCTGTTTCTTCATGAGGCTGGAATCACTTTGGTTAAAACAATCAATCTGCTGAAGAATTTGACAAGTACCACAATATCCTTCATTAGGAAAATGTGATTCTTATGTATGCTAGGAGTTTAGGTAACTCTCATTGTAATAAGGAATTGATCCCATTTGAATCTTGATCTGGATTTAAGTTGTCCCAAAAGAAATAGCCTTGAAATCTGTGCTTCTGCCATGACATTGCTCACAGGTAGAGATGCTGATTCAGACATTCCTCCAGACTTCAAGGGTTCGGTTCTTCCCAAAACAGAAAGATTGGAATTCCTGGGGTTTCCTGGGCTACAGCTACCCCTGAAGGGTGGCTGTGACTTTACCCATCATATGGGGCTTTCCCCATGTTTCCTGTGGGGAGCACTGACAAGATGAGCCCACGGTGCCACCAGGAAGCCACTGGCAGTGACAACTACACTGAAGCCCAGGGCTGTGGTAGATGAGGGCTGCTCCCACTCAACACACATGGGAAACGTGGGAGCCACAACCTCTGGTTCCTGTCCTACCCAGCTCTTTCTGTGTCTAAGGAGCAAGTCTGGGAGAACTGGGAATGCTCGTTCCACCACAGCTGACCCTGCACTGGAAAGTGAGAGCACAGGAGCTGAGCAGGATACGTGTCCACGTGGCCTTTTCTGCTGCTCCCTGCCAGAACAAAGGAGTTCTGGGAGAAGGGAGGAGCTGTGCTGAGTGTGATCCAGCCCAGGGCTTTTCACGAGGGGTTAGGGCTGTGGTCAGGTGCATCCTCCCAGGCCTGAGGAGCTGAGGTGCCTGGTGAGCATCACATCCTGCCGTGCTGCTGGGATCCACAGATGTAAACACCTTTGGCTGCGTGTCTCCACTGAGACGTCTCTGGGTTCCAAAGGGAGAAAACTGTCAGTTCTGGGCTTCTCCAAGTTGGGCAGATGCCTGGGTCACCAGGTGAGCTCAGGAGAGGATTCCATTTGCTCAGTGAATGCATGCCCAGGGCACCACCTCACTGTGCAGGAGCCCAGGGGCAGGTTCAGGTGAGCTCTGGGTACCTGCATCTCCAGCAATCAGACTGCACAGCTTATCCACAGGCACTGGTAGGCTTGGGGGGTGAGGTGTGTGATGCTATTGGGCTTTCTGGCTCTGAACCAGGGGTGAAAATGTCTCACATCCCCTTCCACATCCCTCAGGCTGTGCAGCCCCACTTCAAATTCTTCAAAGCTCATTTTAAGGATAACTTAGTATGCATCTCTGGTTTTTCTTGCAGGTTTGAAGGGGGAAACAAACATCCCACAGTGGCCACAAAGCTGCACAGAGAGGGGAACAGCTGGGGGTTAACCCTGGGCCCATGAGATACAGAGAGGTTGGGGCAGGTCTCAGTGACCTCCAGTCAAGGGAGAGGGAGGAGGCTCTGCCCTGGCAAGGTCCCCCTGATAGAAGGACAGGACATGTCAGCTCAGGGAGAGCAAAAGCGACCCAAATTTCCCTGAAGCTGCAGAGGAGAAAGGGGAGAAAGGGAAAAGAAACAGCCAGGACAAACATATTCTTAGAGGGAGAAAAGCCAGGAAAAGTGAACACTGACACGCACACAAAAAAGGAAAATATGAATCCTTGCCCCCACTCCCTCCACCCTGCCCCTCTAGTGCCCCTTTCTGAACCTGCACAGCTCAAACTGCATTTGCCAGGAGAATTTCAGAGCTCCCCCCAACTCTGGCAGTTGCACAAAGGTCTCCTCTCCCTCAGCCAAGAAATTTCCATATTGACACAAGAACTCCACTCACTTACTTGCACGACAGCTGATTAATCCCCTCGATGTAGTAGCACACCCCTCCATTGACACAATAGGACTTGGCTGTTTCGTTGCATTTTCTGGCATGCCCGGACCAGGAGGAGAGAGTTGTGGTTACTGCAGGGGAACACAAAAACACACACAAAAAGGATATGTTGTTATTTCCTTTGTTGGGCAATTCTGCTTCCTCAGATGATTTTCTACGAGTTCATTTGCCAAAGTAAAAACCCCAGAGCTGCAAACCTTAGCCTGTGCCTTCAGACCCACCTTCAGGTCCTGGGGCTGCAATTTGACCCTTCCTTTCTCAGCAAGAGGGGCCAAGTGAGTGAGGAGTTGAAGACTCATTTTGCTCTAAGCAGCCAGCATGTAGCACAAGATCATTTTTTTGGCAAGCTGCAGGGAAGTGCCCCTTTCCCCTCCCTCATGCTGGGAGTGCTGTGCCAGCAGGCCAGCGGGAGGGGAGGAAGAAGAGGAGCTGCAGAGTCGCAGAGTCACAGTGATGTGCTGCTGAGACCCGAGTACAGACCCAGAGGGGCTGCAGGGGACTTTGCACTGCTCCACACCTCTGTCAGCTGAGTTTTCAGAGCCAGGAGCAGGTCTGGCACAAGCAAGAACGGCTCCATCTGTCCCTCCCCTTTCCTGAGCATTTCTCTCGGCTACCACAGCTGGGCTGCCCCAACAGACCCAGCAGAAGTCAGCCAGCCCCAGCTCGTGCTGTGAGGGAGGCAGCATGACTCAAGTTTCCTCATCACAGGTGCTTTCCCAAACCTAAACTTCTTCCTAGAGAAAAGCTTTACACTCCTGTAAGCCACAAGAAAACCTGAATGCAGTCTGCAGAATTTCACTGTAATTCCTGCCTCTGAGAGACTCTGACAAGCTGACAGCCAAAAGCAGAGCCTCCAAAGGTAAAACAAAGGTGTCTAGGAAGGAAAAAACCAGTTGTTAGAGCACTGATACAGATTCAAGAAGGTGAGCAGCTCTGGGGAATGCAGACCCTTCTTCACATAAGTCTAAGAAGTGCTGGGCACTAAAAAACATGGATTTTTTACAACTGAATGCTTAACCTCATAAAAAATAATTCCCTTTCCCAGATGACCCACCTTGCTCAGACCCAATCACAGTTACACCTGCAGCAATGTGGCTACTGCCTGTGCAGCATCTTTTATGCTGTAGTCAAGGCTTCTGAGGAGATTTCTCTTCCACCTTGTTTTCCAAAGCATTACCAAGCCTCGTGGAGAGGTTAGTGACACTGTCACTGAGACTGAACTCCTCACTGACACGAGAGTTGAGGAAGAAATCTTGGACCAGAGCCAGGCAGGAGCCAGTCAGAGCCACAGGAGGAGCAGCAGGGCAAGCCATGGCCTGTCCTGGAGGGAGCCAGGGCTGCTCCCCATTCCTGGGGCAGCCCCTGTGCTCATCCCACCTGCCCCTGCCTGCAGCCCCCACGCCAGAGCCAAGGGCTGCATTCCCAGCTCCAGCTGGGTGCTCCCAGCACCTTGTGAAGCCTCTCATGTGTGGCTGATGCAACCAAGGTGAGTTTGTTGCGTCTCTCACACTTTTGGGCCTCTCTGCACGCACGGGGTCCGTGCATTTCTGCAGGAGGAGATTCCCAGCGGGCTGGAGCAGCCCACGCTGTCACCTGTGCACGGCTCAGGGCAGGGCCAAGCTCACTGCTCAGTCTGGTTGAAGCCATGTCCCATCCATTGTCTTCCATTCCCAGAAGGAAGTGGATGTCTCCTGCTGACCGACAGGCCGGGGTTGTGCTCGGAGCCGAGCTATTTCCATCCTTTGCCTTGAATAACCATCGCCTCTGGCTCTGTCTTTTCACAGTTATCCAGGGCACAGCAAGTTGTCCCAAAGTGCTCTGCTAATGAGACATGGAAAACACTCCAGCAGAGACCCAAAATGCTCACAGCCCTGGGACAGCAGCTGCTCCCTGAGGGCACGTCCTGCCAGCCAGCTGGGAGCCAAATGTGGGCAGCAGTGGAGTGTTGGAGCAGAGGATGGCTTGACCAAGCCTCCAGTGAAACTCTTTCAAAAATCTGAATCCTACACTTCTGCAGGAAATTCAGCACTCCCTCCCAGTTAAGATTAATGGTAACTAAAAGCCAAAGCCATTAAGAGTCTGTGTAATTTATCTGGGGAATGCAGACTCATTATACAGACAAGACTTTATAATTTATACCTTTACAAGATAGTAGCACATTTCTACTCAGGAGTGGAGAGCTGTGGGTCTCTGATAAGTGTGGGTCTCTGCAAGTGTACCATGGGATCAGGGAGCACTGAAACTTCATCAGCCAAAGAGGTGGTGCAGATGGAAAGGGTGAAGAACCGGCTGCAGAGAGCTGTCAGCCCTGCAGCCATCAAATACACCACTTGGTACCAAGCAAAACAACCCATCTGGCAAAGTCTCACATCATAAACCCTACAGAGAAGGACTTTGGAGCAAGCCTTGCCACAGAAAGAGAGGGGCAGAGAGGGAGAACTAAAAACAGATCCCAGGAACCTCCCCATAAGAAACACCCCAGATAAGATGACACCCAACCCACCAAGAAAAGTGGATGGAACGATGCATTGCTGTGTGATGTGACACCAGGGAGGATCACAGCTCATCAGCCAGAGATTTCATGGCATCCTCATCCCATAGAAACAGTTTTGTCCTTTTTAAATGGATAAAAAAGAGCCTGACATGATTGAGGCTTGGGCATGTTGGGCACTTCTGGGGAGAGCTGTCAGTAGAGCTGTGCCTGTCAGGAAAATGCATGGTTGGTCACCTCTACTAGAAGCATCTTGCTAATGTCATTATCCTTTAAACCTGCAAGTAGCTTGCCTTTTATCCCAAAGAAGCATAAAGTGTTCTCAAACTGAATCATGGAATCATATTACTACAGTCCATTTGTCAGCACAGAGATGTGGCAAAGGCCACAGAGAGAAGCAGTTCCCTGTTGAGAAGAGAGCATCAGGAAATGAGGCCATTTTAGACTGTAAGACTGGTCAAGCCAAAGCCCTGCCTTGGCCCCAGCAGTGGCAAAGCTTAAAAAAGAAAATCAGCACAAGCACACAGTGATAATCATCCTTACCCAGGATGGGCAGCTCAGAGACAGCCCGAGGCAGCCACAGTGCTGTCACATTTAGTCACATTTTGTGGCCACATTTAGTGGCCTTTGCTGGATTCTTCCACCAACATGTTTAGTTGCTGTGTGAACAAATCTATTCTTGTAGCATCCACAATATTTGTGACTCCAGAGTTCCAGTGCTACGCACGCAGCGTGTAAGGCCACAACTCCATTTAATTCTTTTAACCTGCCCTTTGCTGGCTTTTGTATTAGAAAAAACTAATCATTATCCCCACTTGTTTCCCCTGTGCTACCTGTGGCATTGCAGGCACAGCCAGCATCTCCTTCCCTAGCTGGGAAGCAATGATCTCTTTTTATCCTTTTTTGGGTCATCCCTTGTTCTGTTTTTCTCTTTGGAAATAGTGAAATGATACTGCTCACATGTTATTTATGGGATATTTATTAAGTCACAGGAATTCCTAATTTTTTTATTTTTTTTTGAGGTTTGATGCACTGAATACAGATCTTTCTCTCTTCTAACCCTGAAATCTCACTGCTGGGTGGTAACACATTTTAGAGTCTTCCAAGGTGCCTGATCACCCTGGGATGTGCAGCTGGGGCTTCACATTCATGAGAGCAACTATTTGTTTCCACCACACTAGGGGGATAATTCCCAGATCCACAAGTTACTTTGTGATTGGATCTATTCTCCATCAACCTGGGTCACTGGAAACACTTTAACAACTGTGTGCCTGGTCCAGAGTCATCTGGGATGTTGGATGTTGGTAAAATGAACCTCACACACAGTTTATTTACAGCTGTGCAGGTACTTTCACCTCTGTGCCAAACACTGCTCAGCTGTGCCTGGTGATCCAGAAATTACTTCCCACAGCAATTTCACATGAACTGCCATACAACACCAGGCAGATTTTACCCCCCATTGGCTGCTGTGGCAGAATAAATCTTTCATTCAGCTCCCAACAGCGCTCCATCTATCCCAAATGACTTGGAAAGTTGTAAAATTGCTGAGAGGAGTGGAGAACTGAATAAGCAAGGGAGCAGTTTTGGGTGATGGCAGGGTGGAACGGGACTCAGGAAGGCAGTGGGACGTAATGAGGGGGTTCTAACACCAGCCATGTACCAAGAACCTCCCCAAATTTAAAGCAGAAAACCAGGAGTGTGCGTGAAGCAAGCAGGTGGTGACATTTCCTTTTGACCAGAGGGAATAGCTGAGGTGCCCTGAGACACACAGTGGCAAACTGGTCAGAAAGCCCCTGCAGGGTGAGAGAAGGGCTGGAACAGCTCATCCACCAGCAGGTCAGACCTGCAGCTGTCCCAGGACTGAGAACAAAGCAGGAGGGAGGGAGCAGGTGAGGACAATGAAGAGAGGGGAATAAGGAGGTGAAGAGAAGAGGGGAGTAAGGAGGTGAGGACAGGGAAAAGAGGGCTGCCTCCTGATGATGTGTTGGTGAATGATCTGCAGCCACGTTTTATCGTTGCTGCCCCAGCCAGGCAGGACAGAGTAGCATAAACACGGGAGGTTCAGAGCACTGGAGTCATTCAGAGAGTCTGTTTTCCACCACATGCCTCAGTTACTCTGGACTATCATCAATGACAGGGCAACAGAGAGGAGAGCCAGGGGCAGGGACTCTGCCAGGTGGACCTCCCTCCACAGAACCCATCTACGCAGAAGGGCCATTAATGATTGTGCAGGGATTCTTACACAATTCCTGCCATGCACGTCATTTACCCTTTGCAGGCAGCTCACCAGCCTGTTCTCAGAAGTCTGGTGAAATACTCCCCCTGCAAAGAGTTAATTAATGCAGCTTGGACTATAAATTATAGTTAATTTTTCACAAACTACAGCTACTGTCGAGGAGAGCGGGGAGACAGCGATGGTTTCGCCGCTCCTTTTCTTCCTTATAAATAACTTTGGCTGGTGGGTTCATAGAGTACAGACACTTTATTCTCTCAATATTTAGACATTCAGTTAGACAGATGAACTCAGCTGGTTGGGGAGTGTATACAGATTGCCTGCTCTGTATATGCCTCATGTACTCACTGATAAAACACAGAATGGCTGAGGTTGCTCTCAACAGAGTTCATCCAACTGCTTCTTAGAAGAACATGGATGAGAAGGTGTCTGGCCAAGATATTCCTTGCTTGTAGTGCCGTAATCCTGGCGTGAGCCACGCTAAATCCATGATTTACACTGATTAATACATGGAGAGGCTGGTGATCCTCACCATTCCCTCTGTGGCAGATTTCTGTGTGTCTGATACGACACCTCCTCTCACAATAAACCTGAGCAGAGTCTGGATGCTCCCTGCTGTTATCTGTACATAAAATCAGAAGGGCCTGTGCACACTGGGGCTTGCCTGACAGCAGACTGGGGACTCTGGAGCTCATAAAAATTCTCCTCCTGTGTGTTTATTCATTTGGAAATGACCAAATATTTACCCCCGCATTTTATTGAAATAGATCCGGCTGGAATTGTGTTTCCAGTTCCCAAGGGGATCATTAGGATCAATAGCTGCAGACTAGGAGTTCATCCCAAGATACACAAACCAGGCTGCAAGGCACTCATCTTGGAGCATCAGATGCTGCTGATCAAAACAGCACAGGTTGCATTTCCCACCTCTCCCATCTGCACTGCTCAGGGGTTTCACTAAGAAACAAGTTTAAAGGTTTCTGAGCACTCAGGGGCTGCCTGTTTCCATGGGACAGGCAGTAACTGAAGGGGCAAAGTCCTGTGTTATTGTCAAGCTTCTAGCTGCTCCTCTGGAATGATCTCTGCAGCTTTATGAGGGAGCCCTTCCTATGCTCTTGTCTGCCACAGGGGTCTGAAAATGCACATGACAGCAGCGCAGCATTTCGTTTTCCCAAATCCCCATCATCAATTGTAATAGCAGCAACATGATACTTCAATGAGGGGATTTGTTCAGCAACCTAAAAATCCTTTCACAGAGCCAATGCCAGTGTGAAAGCTTTGCAGGCGGGGCAGCTGAAGCCCAAGAAGTAAAGCAACACACCAGGGTCCCAGGATGGAGCCAGAAGAGCAGATCCCCTGGTCCAGAGCCCAGTTCTGAAGGCTGGGCTCAGCCTCAGTGCCGCCAGGGGACATCAGCTCCCACCCCACACTTCATCCTGCCCCTCTTTGCCTTTAGAGCCACTGCCTGCCTTTACACCCCACCTCGAGTGGCAGCTGTGTGACTACTTGAAAAACACACAGTGCAAAATGAGCAAGGAGCAGGATCTGGCAGCTGCCAGGCACCACACAGCTCTCTGCAGACAGGCAGTGAGATCACCACATTCACCTCAAGGTTCCGTGCCTGCAGGTTCCGCTCAATTACAACCACACCTCCAGCAATGGGCTTTAAATTATCTGAGCAAAGACCACGCCAGGACTTATTTTTAGTCTAATATTGAAAGCTGCTCTGTTCACATGGCTGGACTTGTGTCTGCTCTGCCCGTGCTCCAGGCTGGCTGGACACCCCTCTGCAGCACTGGTAGCTCCAGGAGAGCTCCATGGCCTCAGGCTGGAGGGGCCAGGGACTGACCAGGGACACAGGCAGGTCTGCCATGGCCACCCAGTAAAGGCCACGCCAGACTGGATTTGACAGCAGGTTTGGGGGGGTTGGTTGAACCACAAGCACGTGGCACATGTTCCTGTGGGGTGTGTAACTCACAAACCACAGCACAGCCACTGCAATCGTGCAAATCCAGCAGGCTGGGCTCACCTGGCAGGGACAAAGTGAGGAGAACACTCCCAGCACCCAGCCATGCTAGGCATCAGGGAGGGATTAAACTGGAGAGAGATTGCCTCGATGAGTCTACACCAGTGAAGCTACAAACAGTCCAATGGCATCACCAGGATGACAGCTGTGAAATCTGTGGACCCAAACTGGTGTGTGGAGAGTTAGACTTAATTGGAGAACAAAGGACTGTTTCAGCTACCCTTCCCACAGGGGTCTCTAGAAGGACTCTAGGGAGGGCTTGTGATGCCCAGCAGATGAAATAAAGGCACTAAAACTAAACCCAGAGAGCCCAGCTTTCATTCAGCTGCTTTATATTACCCTCCAATCCTCTTGCTCCCCTCAGCACTGCCTGTCCTGCTCTTTCTCCCCGTTTCACCTTCTGCTGTGACCCCGAGCCTCTCTCTGCTGCAGAGCAGCCTCAGCCAAGGGCACTGACAGCCCACAGAGGCTGATAAAGCTCTCAGGCACTCACCCAGCTACAGAGTGAGCAAAGAGCACGAGCAGAGTCCGGGTGAGCAGCTGCAATGATCCACATGTTGGTTTAGAGCACCTGCCCACCACTGGCACATCCTCCTGTATCCTGACAGTATCCAAACCACGCTTCCTCCTCCTGGCCTGTGCTCTCTCCTTACCCTCAGGCCTTCACCTGCTGCTTGAAGTCAAGGGAAGGAACTAGAGGAGAACTCAACAGCAGAAAATAAGCACAAGGGATTACCTGACCTTCTCAGAGACTTCAAACACTATCTTACCTTTTTAAAATTAAACTTTGAGGGGGTTTTACTCTCTCTGTCCTGCATAAACCTTCTATCTCAGAATGCTCTCCAGATTTCTCTGACCCTTCTTCCATTTCTGCCTCCATCAGAATGCTCCTAAATGCCCACACTGGTTCCTGTTTACCCAACAGACTCCTGAGCCTTGTTTAGCTGTCTCACTGCACCATGGCAGGATCACGGTACCACTCTGAGTTCTCTGGATGTTGAAATGAGCATGAAGGACCTTCCTCTCTCCACCAGGGCTCACCATCAAGTTACCACATCCCTGCAAGTTCTTGCCTGTGAGCTGAGCCACTGTCACCACCCAACTGCACAGCTTTAGCCCGTGGCAAGCACAAAACAAAGTGTTTTATTTAACATGTTTTCACCATGAATGAGGCCACTGCTCCACGAATGAAGCCGAGTGGAACCTCATGCTATTCACAAGCCAGGTACTGGGGGTATCAGTGCTTAAAATCCAGCAAGGATTCTAAAAGGACAAGATTTTAGAGAAACAACCAGAGTAGGGACAACCTGCAGGTGACTCTGAGTACAGATATTGTAAAGAAATGCAAGACTTTTACAAGGATGAGATGCTTGTCTGCTCTCCAGATCCTCCCACCTCACAACATCTTCAGCACCTCCCCATATGCTGTGCACACGTGCAATTCTGTGATACAACATCAATCACCACAAAAAATCAGAGAGGCTCTGGGTAATTCAGATAGCACTTGGGAGATACAGCAAAAAAGGAATGTGAAGGAAAAAGGGAGTTCCAACTTTAACTCTGGAGATTCTTTCCATCATTAGAAAAAAAACCAACAAACCAGACAATGATGATGCACCCACAGAGGAAAGAAGTTTTCCAAAAGGGGAAATTTCTGTGTTTCCTTTCTGAGATTTGGCTTTTAAGAAAATAGCATTTATCTAAAATGATGCAAATAAGTAGCATGGGTCTCTTCTGGTGAAAACAAAGGAAAAATCCTGGGGAAAGAAAGTGTGGCCACGGCATTAATGATGCTGTATCTCAGCTTGGTGTCTCTAGAGCAGTGCAAGGCTAAGCACTACACAAGAGCACATTTTTAAGTGCAGTTTTCTAATCAGAAAAGCTTTTAAAGAATACCTGGCCAGTGCCTGCTGTGGCTGCAATCAGATTTCTTTTAAAGTCATAAAAGACTGAGCTTTCAAAGGAGGAAGCATCCCCATAAAATCTGCAGAGCGGAATTGCCAACAGTGAGGCACAGCCAGCTGTGCTCTCAGCTCTGGGCATCACAGCACAGATCTCAAAATCCCTGCCTGGCCCTGCCTTCCCAGGGTTTTTGCCAGGATCCTGGTGGGCTCCCACTGGGGAGAGACCCCCTGACACAGCCACAGCACCCTCCACCAGAAATTGCTGAGCCAACATCCAGGCACCAGGATTCTAATCAACACTTGTACCCCTTCCTTGATTTTTATTGCTCTGTGCCCATTTTCTACTGCTTTTGGGACAGCTGAGTAGGAGGGAATGCTAAAAAGCATTTCAGCCACATTAAATCAAATTAAGCATTTGGGGAAATCCATTCTTGCTTTCTGGAGACTCAGAAAAAATGGGATGGCAGGGCATGGATGGATTTTCTGCAATGTTCTTATTTCCTATGCTTAGGAGACTCATGGCTTTTCTCTTGTACTTCCTACAGCTTGTTTTGGTTTGATCAACCATCCTCAAAAAAATCCCAAACCCAAACCCAAAAACAAAGCAATAAAAAAGGCCCTGTTAAATCAAAGGCCATAACAAGCACATCTTGCATGTATCAATAACTCCATGTACTGAAAGAGCTCAGAATGCAAACTTCAGTTGCAATTTTAAGTAAAAAGTTCTTCAAGCTGCCATTGCAATCGTTATCAAATTCTCTCTCTCCAAGATAGACACCAGCAATATAAATCAGATTTTTTTAAAGATCTAGGGAAAGAAAGATCAGTGGCTTTGGGAAAAATCAGACAGAAGGAATGATTAAAGAAGATTCCAGGAGGCAATAAAGCATTTATGCAAAATGTCTCATAATAACAAACAAATTAGGGGGAAGCAGCTGTATGGGGGGAGTGGGGGAGAGGTACTTACACTCTTCTTCCATAACAACTATTTTAGTTTCTGAGGCTGGTAAGACTTGTGGTGTTTTCGTTGTTCCTGGGGAAATTAAGGTAAGAAAGTAGTGAACAAAATATCTCTTTTGAGCAGAGCAGGGCTACTGTGGGGAGGAGCAGAGGGGCAGGTGCTGCAGGGGGGCACAGGCTGGGGGCTGTCGAGGTTGAGGGCAGGGGATTGGGGTGACAGAGACAAGGAATGTCCCTGCAGGAGATGGCACAGGACACGATGTCCCCTCGCTGTGAAGAGCCTTGTGTCACGATCAAGAAGCAGAAATGGCTCAGGGTTCACCTGGCAGGAGATGAACGAAAATGTGGGAGGTTTTCTTAGCCCTGACGGCCACAAGAGCGCAAAGATGGGATGGCAGGAGGTGATAGTGGGGAAAATGCAGAGTTTAAGGAAAGGGGATTTTCTGAAGAGCCTCCATCCCACAGGTATGTGAAGTCCTGCAGCACAAATTAACGCTCGTACAAGAGGTGGAGGAACACGAAGCAGATGAAGGCCCAGGCAAGAGTGGGACAAGCACAGGTAGTGATTTCCTCTTTTTTAACCAGGATACTGGGAACCCCAATGCCCACAGCTCTACTCAACCCCACTGGCAGCACCTTTGGAGAAGTCCCTCACATCCTTTGGAAAGGAGAAAGCCTCAGGAGCCTGGGCAGGGGGTGCAGTGCCTGCCAGAGACAGGGGTGGGACCACCACAAAAAAGCTAGAAGCAGAAAGAATTTTTTGTACAACTTGATTTTTTTCTGCAGTGCTTAATAGGGTGCAGGGCGGCTGAGGAGGTGCCTAGAAATTTTCTGAGGAAAAAAAAGAGTCTGGAACACCTGTGCCCTCATGGCCATGAGATATCAACATTAGGCTATTCAATAATGAGAATTGGGAAATGGGACATTTTTCTAAGAAAACATCCAATTTACTCCAAAGTCATAAAAATCTGCAAGACAACCAAAGCACAGTATATTTTGACTAAATCCAGAAGCATTTCCTCAGAAATTAACACACTCACAAAGTTTCTCAATGCAAAAGCATTTATTTCTGAGCTGGGAGTTTTGTAGAGGAGGGAGGAGGTGAGGGTTTGGCTGATGGGCATTTTCTAAGTGCCAAGGGGTCTCTGCTCTGCAGCCACTCTCTCCTTAAAGCTGTGGTAGTTTTGGTGACTTACAACAGATCTGTATGGCTGAAAAGCTGCTTTTCTGAAACTGACAAGTGGTATTGGAATAAAGAGCATTCTGCAACGGGATCCACAACTGGATCAGTGCTAAGGAGCCTGGGGAAGAAGACACAGGGGACAACACACAAATGCCCTGAGGGGTTTTCTACTGAAAACCACCAGAGAGGAAGGGAGTTTGCAGAAGTGAGGAAAGCTGTTGAGACCCCAAGAAGGTCCAGCAGCAAGGGGAGAGGAATAGTCTAGGACAGCTCATGCCTGCATACTGGGGAAGGCTGTTTAACTCTGGGTAGCTCCAGGGAAAAGAGGAAAAAAGAGCTCAGAGGGGCGACAGGGCCACAAAAGCCTGCAGGGATTGTCATCAGCTTGGCTGCCTTTGCAGGGGGCTGCAGCTGGCCCTGCTGTCCTGGCAGGTGATCTGCAAACAGCAGCAAGGTGTGCCTGCAGCTGAGCAGCAAGCCAGGGGCAGAGTGGCAAGGCAGCTGAGAACATGGATTTGTACATGGGTTCATCCAGGTGGGGAATCTGCTGGATTCAGGGCGAGACCTTTGTGTGTCTTTGATGGTTTTTCAGGTCTTCACACATTTCTGGGCAGCTCAGGTGTGAGCCCATCCCTGCTGCGAGGGTCCTTGCCACACAGCATGACCTCCTGTGGGGGCAGAGCCAGCCCCTGACATCCTGCCTTCCCTGCCTGGAGGCTGCAGTGGCCAGATGTGAACTTACCTGGTGGGCAGGAGAGAGCTCAAGCACACTCCTCCTCCTGTGGAAGGGGTGCTGCTGGTGGGGAAGGGGCAGCAGAGGGGGCAGACAGGGCTCTGCTGGCTACACACAGGGAAGGGAGGTTACACATGCAGCTCCCATCGAACAGGAGCTGTTTATGTGGCGTGGGACAGCCAGAGTGTGAGCCAGGAAAAAGGGAAAAAGGAGAGCACTGCCTCTGTTCCTTACTCAGGACACCTTTCCTATCACAATCAGAAATAAACCCAGCAGAGCAGCAGGGCTGAGTTCACAGATTTGGAGGATGAAGGCAGGGAGGTGTGAGCATGGGTGGCCTTCCTCCAGCCTCTGCCAGCACTGGGATTGACCAGGCAGGATAACTGAGGAGGAAGAAGCTGTGTGATGCTGCAGCTTCACAGAACAAAAGATTCAGGATGGCAAACACGCTGAGGTTAAGAGAGAAAACGCTGCCAGAAAGCAGCAGGAGAAAGGGACCTTCCCTCACACTGGGGTAAGGCTGGTGAGGGAAGAAAAAGCTGGATCCCAGCAAAGGGCTGCAGAGCCCAGTGCTCCCTGCCCCAGTGCCCGTTGTGAATGGCAGGAGGAAGAGCTTAGGAAATACGGTCACCCCCTCCCCAGCTGTGCCCTCCCAGCTTCTGGCAGCCACTGCAGGGACTTTCTGAGCCGGAGGGTGCATCCAAACCATCGTGTTAAGCAATATAATTATTATGACCAAGATAATAATAAAACCACCTAACCTCAGACTCCATCCGCTGAGCTCTAAGAGATGGAGCACACATTCTAGGATGAAAACCAGAAGCAACTTCACTCATCACAAAGCTATGGTCTAATTACTTGTCTTCTGGTGAGTTTTGCTTCTCAGAAATTCTTTAAAAAATGAAAACATCAAGCCCACCAGCTTTCTTTCCTTCTTACCCCTTTTCAAAAAAATACATAGACTGTGAGTTTATTTAAAATGTAAATTAACCACATTGCCAGTGACAGATAACAAAGATAAACATTTATGCTAAGCTGCATTTTTCTTATCTCCCAAGATTGTTTTACTCGATATCCTGAAAGCATGAAACAAAATACAGGACAGACCATGTGCAGAACCTTTCTGTGGAATGGCAGACAGCTCGAGACATTTGCTGGCTTCTTCACTTACCACTTTTCACATTCAGGCTGCCTTTTGCGGTGTCTTTCCCTAAAACGTTCTCCGCTTCGCAGCTGTACTCCCCAGCATCTTCAAGCTTCACCTTGTTGAACTGCAGTCTGGAAATCTTTCTGTTGAAAAGTACAGCAGACATTTCTTACTCGATTGCTGACCAACCTCATGAAGTGACAACCATTCCTGGCCCTGGGATGCTGCCTGGAGGGTCACCCCCACCTAACAGGATGGGCTGAATAGGCTCTTGAGTCTGGATAGGGTTTGGATAAGTCCTTTCCCAGGATTTGCTAGGTGAACATCTCCCTCTGAACCCACTGCTCTGAGTGTGTTGTGTGCTTTGGTCTGACACCTGCTCTCATTCACACACACAGTCTCGTGAGGGGTTGAGGCCAAGAGTCCCAGCACCCCAGCACAAGCTTTCCATGCTGGAAAAAAGCCACTTTACTGATGGGCAGTGGGATCTGCCTGCCAAATGTGGAGAGGAGATGCCTGTTCTGCACCTTCCTCAGCAGGGATGCTGAGCAGTCAGTGCTCCACCAGCTCAGCACAAACACCCATGGTGCCCAGGGGGACTCACCCCTCTCCAGCCTGCACATCCAATCCCTGGGCTTTGCCCTGGACATATCTCTGGACACTTCATCTGGACCTAGAAAAAGGCCAAGCACCTCGTGTCCCCCAAAAACACACTCCAATGGACTGCAGATGTGTGGCTGAGCTGCACACACTCATCTCACCAGCCAGACATGCCTCGAAAGAGCAGGAGATGGTGACAACTGCCCATGTCACCTCCCAGCCTGTGTCACCTCTCAGCCTGTGCCATCTCCCATCCTGTGCCACCTCTCAGCCACCCCCCAGCCCGTGCTGCTCCTCCATGGGAGAGGGAGCAGCTCTGCGGCAGAGCTCTGCGGCGCTGCGGGAAGGAGCATCGCCTTTCCCACTGCCTATGACTCATTCTCTGGGATGGCTCTGACTAACAGGCAAAACCTTTTGTTGCCCAGTTTAACAGGGATCTACAGGAGCCTTCAACACACTCTGAGTGCCACTCATGAGGCTGCAGTGGGACTCCCACATGAGACCCTCTGGTTTACTACATTTTCTTCCACTTTAGCCATCTTCTCAAAACCCACACTGTCTGCTCTTCTCATGAGCACATCTCCATCTGCTTTCTACCCCAAGCTTTTACCTCAGGTCTGTGTCACTTTATTTAGAGACTTGGAAGTGCTGCCAGCTTTAGAAAGAGGTCCCAGCGGCCGATGTTGCTGAAGGCAAATATAATTCCATTTATGTGGAAAATAATCATTAGCCTTGGACATGGTTGCAATGTTACACGTGTCATCCGAGAAGGACTTTTCTTTGGGCTCTGCAAATCATTGTCCATAGGAAGCCCTTCACAGAAGCATCTTTTTAACACCCTGACAAGCTGTTCTCCTGGGAGGCACGGCGCAAGGACACAGCAGGAACATCTCACTAGTTATATTAGTAAATTAAAAGCACTTGGAGATGACTTGGTAGAGCTCCCAGGAAACAGGCGCTGCCCTGTTTTACAGGATGCGGTCAAGTGTTCAATTGCATGAGCTGGGGCCACATGTGGAGCAATTTTTAAATGAATGTTGACAGTATGCAAAGACCTCTTCAATCCCTCTAACTGTAGGTCTCTCCCCTGATCCATTTGTGCAGTGACTTGGGCCAGCACATTCCACCACGGGAGCCTAAACAAGAGGCCTGATTCTGCCTTGACTCCTCTGAATGTTCTCAAGTCTCTCAGCACAGCCTGTGACAGCCCTGGCCATCGTGGCCCTCGCTGCTGTGCTCCCTCACACAGGAGTCAGGTAATGCACAGGAGAGGGGCATTTCAGGACATTTAAGGAAATTTAGGGTGTCCTGTTCCCATTGCTGCCCTGTGGCTGTTGGTTCCTGCACCTTGCTGGGAGGGGTAGGCTCTGCTGGGCTGCAGCACCTTGCTCAGGACCATGTTCCCCACTGTGTGGAAATGCTCATCAGAAGGGCGAGATGGCTCCAGAATGCAACTCCAAGGCTGCTCACAGCCCAGCCATTACTTTCTCCCAGCTGTCTCAACCCTCTCTGCCAGAATAGACCGTTTGTTTTACAAACCAGCTCTCGGACAGGCTGCATTGCAGGCAGCACATGCTGAAAGCAGCTTGGAAGAGTGAGGTTCTAACTCAGGGTCCATAGAAAACACCACCCTGGCACATCAGCATGCCGGGGCTCTCTGCCAGAGCAGGGCTGAGAGCATCAATGGACACACAGCCTTCAGCTGCCAGAGCACAGATGTTCTAATGATAATTGGCTGAGTGACAATCTCAATCCACAGCACATTTCACCAGGTGGAGCAACTGGAAAAATCCACTGCTGCATTAGAATATCACCTAGGTATGTGATCTTCTACAGATTAGGGGGTGTAAGTCCCAAAGACATGAATTAGGGAGTTATTACTGGCACAAAAGGGGCCATACTTGACAGACTCAGCTCCAACAACTGGATGAGAGACATTTGGTCATTTACCTGGAACTGGGGAGGAATGTGAGCAGAATAAAGAGTGATGCTGGCATTTGGAGCATAGGGGATTACTTTGTTTTAATGCACAAAACTTGTACTGTCAAAAGAGCTTATTTTTGTCATCACAATTTGTTGAAATTATCCTGGGCTGTAAGATCCCCTTGAAAAATCAAGAGCTTTTTCTTGCTTCTCATAGCCCAGGCCAATGGTGTGGCCCCTCTTGGTCTCCACACAGTGCTGTACAATGTCTGGTGACAGACTCAGAGGAAAGGAGATGAAGGTTGGAGATATGGATCAGCTTTCATGTGGAGAAAAAATGCAAAGAGAATTTCCCTATTCCAAGAAGCACTGAAACAGCCAGAGAGATACCTTGCATCACAGCATTAACCCTGGGCCTTTTAATTACCATGGATAACGACTGTGCACTGGAAGGACTGAGCTGAAGGATGCCAAAGGGACGAGTGTGCGCCAAAGGTGACCAGTCTGGTTTTGTTCTATTTTGCTATCTCCAAGTGCTCCTGAAATATCACAAAACTCCTTTGGAAATCTGCTTTTCAAAGCTGTCCTCCTCCCCCTACTGTCCCCAAGGGCAGGTACTTTGTTCTCCTGAGGGCTGATTTTACAGACACACCAAAGAGTGGAATCCAAGGAGTTCCACTGGGCACAGGAGTTTGGGATGAAGGCTCCTGGGCAGTGTCTCCTGGGGACAGCAGGCCCTGGGAGAGCCCTACATGTGCATTCACAAGGGTGCCTGGCTGCCAGACGATGCCATTCTTCTGGAGGAAGGCGCTGCCCCGGGCTGTTTGCTCAGTGAAAGGGCCAGGGTCACTGACAGATCCCATCATTTCGCTGCAGTGCAACTCTGTTGACATCTCTTTACTCCGGGGGAAAATCTGCCTCATTGTCTTCCCTGACCCTCAGCACATATGACTTAGCCACGCACTAATTATCTCCTGTAGTGCCAGTGGAGGGATAAGCCACGGGGAATATGCTGTCTGCAGGCTCTGAGGGATAGGATTCACAAGGAGACCTTCAGCCTGGCCAAAAGAAGATCCCCCAAAATACCTTTCTGGCCAAGAGAAAAGAGTCCCCCAGAGGGCAGTTTGGAGGGATGAGTAAATCACCCTCTTCAGTGCCAATCTCCAGACTACAATGGGAAACAGGGAGATCAGCCCTTGGCCAGGACCTACACAAAGATCCTGGCAAATTCTGGCTGGGAAGGGTGTCCTCATCGGCTGTAATTTAGACATCTAAATGTGAGCTCAGGCCCTGAGGCCTCCAGTGCAGTGAGAGGAGAAGAAACAGGCCCTGCATCTGAGCCAAGAAGGAACTTCTCATGACAGCAGTCATGTTCCCACCAGCACTTTGGTCAAGCTTGGATCATTTTTCCCCTCTTACCTACTGCCAAGTGGAAATGGGGCCATCTTCCCAGGTCATCTCCTCACCGAGCCATTCATGTGGATGGGATCAGGAGAGGAGGTGCCACGAGCTGCCCCCGAGACACCTACACTGAGGACTCCGTGTTCCCTGCGTGAGTTCTGCCACTTCTGCATCGTTCTGGACAAGAATAGCTCTAGGATTACTACTGTTGCAGCGTTTTATTAGTCTTCTAAAAATAGGGTAACTACCATGTAAGTAACGAAGAAGTCAAGGGAAAAGCTGATGAGGAGAACTTGGAGACGACCCCATACGCGGCCCCGAAATTGTCAATGAAGAGCACTGCACATAGTAAACGCACCTGAAACCCCAGGCAAAGGAAATTCCCAAACATGACCCTTGCAAAGGACACACTGGATGCCCTGCTGTGGTCACCCATTAACTCCATTCCCCTCTGTTTGCACGGAGAGCCGGCGGCAGGAAGCGCGCTGGCATTGCCGAGAGCAGCAGTGCCAGCAATTGCTGTAACGTGCGCTGCTTGCATCCTGCCAGAGATTTAATTGGTGCCTACGTGCTGCCCTGGCACTCTCACCGAGCTGCATTTGCCCTGAAAGAGCAGGTTAATGATTGGCAAGATGATTCAGGACGCCCAGCTTACAAACCACAAGCGTTGTCCAGCAGCCACCAAACACTGGGCAGCCTCACTGGCTGGGGCAGCAGCTCTGGGGGGACACGTTCATCATCCCCAGCACTCAGTGGGATAAATTCAGGCGGAGGGAATCACTGCAACGCAGGGGAAGGGTGGGGATGGCCATGGCAAAGCCCCTTTGGCAGGGTGGGAGCAGCCAGGAGCATCCTCTCCTTTGTGCAGCCCCCCTGATCTCTTCCCTGCCTTCCAGCTGTGCTCAGCAGAGCACAGCAGAGCTGGGCAGGAAGGCTGTGCTCTCAGTGCTTGAGGAAAACAAGTGTCCTGTTCTGGCTGCTCTGTGCTCCAGAGCATCATCTGGCCAGCTCACTATCAGCTACAGAAAGAACAAATGGGAAAGGGGACAGAAATGCCCTCAAGCAAAGCAATCAGATAGGAGGGCTAAGGACAGCAAGGTTTGGAGCTTTCAGCTTGGCCATCATCCCTTCTCTACCTCCCTTCCTCCCCTCGCACCATCATCTGACCCGCTCTGTGCTTGGCCTGCTGGGATGGAGGGAGACAGGTAATGTCCTTGCA